AGCACAAAGTTAAAGAGCAAGGGAGACTGTTCTTGATGAAAAATGAGTCAGACAATGCAAAAGATCTGATCAATCGTTGATCAGTTTCGTCTGAACCCACACTGATGATCCCCAATAATTTCATTTGCATATGGGGTTAATCTTGCCAAAAGAATGTTTGATAGAATTTTGTATGAGGTTGATAGCAGAGAAATTCCTCGGTAATTACCACTCAGTCTTGTCCCCCTTCTTATGAATAGGAATAATTATGGATTCCTTCCATTGTTGTGGCATCTCTTCCTTATCCCAAATTAACAGTATAAGCTTATGGATCCTCATATGCAACCCTTTGCCACCTGCTTTAATTAATTCTGCTGGAATCTGATCAATACCTGGAGATTTATAACTTTTCAACTTCCCAATGGCTAGTTCAACTTCATCTAAACTAGGTTCTGGCACTAACAGTTCAGCTGTATATATTTTAATCTGTCTAATATCACCAGTCTCATGAACATTTAAGAGCTGGCTAAAGAAATTTTTCCACCTATTCACAATTTTTATTGGATCTGCAAGCAAATTGCCATTATCATCCTTTACCAAATTGATCTGAGGTTGATATTAATGCCTCTGTACAGGTCTCTGATATTTTTTTCCGTATTATTTGTCTCAAGTTCATCAATTTTGCCCTTCAGGTATTCCCTTTTCTTATTCCTAAAGGTTCTACTAGCTTCACATCTCATGTTACATAGATTATCCGCATTTGTTTTGTTTGGATCCTGCAACCATCGAAATTTGGAACATTCTTCATCAAACCACGGTTTATTTTGCTTTCTCCTGTAGTATCCTAGTTTCTCTTTGGCTGAAATATTGATGCAGTTGCTGACATTTCCCCACTCCCTGTTGATGTCCCCACTTTCCATATCTTCATCCGTCTCTAAAATTTGAAACCTATTCAAAATTTCAACTTGATATTGTTCCTTCGCCTCTCCCTCACTTAATTTTTTCAAATCAAATCCTTCTGTGTCAAAATTTTGCTTAGTTCGTCTACTTACTGAAAGCCGCTCCCTCACTTTTGCTACCACCAGATAATGGTCAGTGTCACAATCTGCTACTCTGAAAGACCTCACATCAATTACATTTGTCTGCCTTCCATTATCTACTGAAACATGATCAATTTGATTGTACGTGTTCCCATCTGGGGAAGTCCAAGTGTATTTATGAATATCACGGTGTGGAAATTTTGTACTGTTTACAATTAATTCTTTTGGCGTAGCGAAGTTTACTGCTCTAACACCGTTATCATTACTAAGTGCATGGAGACTCTCGCTGCCTATTGTGGGTTTGAAGATATCCTTCCTCCCAATTTTTGCATTGAAATCTCCTAACAGAATTTTCATGTGGTACTTGCCAAATGTACCAAATACTGATTCCAATTCTTCATAAAAGCTATCCTTGATATCATCACTAACATTAAGGGCAATGATGTCGCACCAACATCCTTCCAAAATTACGTAAGACAACCGGTCACTAACAAATTCTACTCTCTTCACTGCTGCCCTAATTCTGCTATGAACAAAGAAACTCTCTAATTGATGACTGTCATTCCCCTTTCCATAGAAAAATGTGAAATTGTCCACTGGGATCGTGCCCTCTCCCTCCCATCGCACTACCTACACTGTCACTAAGTCTAACTTATAATTCCCTACTCACTGATTTCAGTGCCCCAGTCTTATAGAGACTCCTAATGTTCCATGTACCAAGTCTCATATCCTTTTTGAATTGCCATGGTCGTGGCAAAGAGTCCGTCCTGGTCCGAGGCTTAGTTAATTTTTTCGTAATGGTTCTTTTTATTACGGTGCAAGGTTGTTAGCCTTACATCAAACCCCCAACCTGGAGGACCAGGGTATCACTCTTAGTCTGGCACATCGCCTTAGACCTGTCCGGCTTGGGTGACCCTACCATGAGCCGAAGCTCCAGCCGGCATAGCCCTAAGGGTCATTTGAGCGCACAAGCCTCCTCACCCGGCAAATTGCCTTCGACAAGGTGGTGATACCTTCGAGAAGGTCCTCAAATCAACAGTATGCGAAAACACAATAAAAATACTCTTATATGCAGGGACATTTCAAGAACTCCTTAGGCTTCTAGCATACTTCGATAAGTGGTGCCTGTTTCTGCCATTTTCACGTAATATGCAAATGAAATATCGTAAGCAAAATCGCATTTAAAATAGGATTTTGAGGGATTGTTTTAACATTGAAATATGTACATGTGTTTATAGGTGCAACATTTAACGCAGCAACAAAGAAGCAGTCTTGACAAGTATGGATTATTGTCTGTACCATTACCTGCCAATCAGTGTCGAGAACAAGTGAGCAATACAGGTGGTACTAGCAGTGCATTACTTGCGAAACAACGAAGTTTTGATGTAGCAGAGAATAGAGAAGGCGGAACATATGGGTTCAGTGGGCATGAAAACCGCTCCACATCGCGCCAGAAAGGCCAGAGTCAACAGCCATTACCAACACCTCTAGCACGTAGTTACAGTTTCATGCAGCGACGTGAAAAATATCAGCAGTACCAAGACGAAGATGATTCCATGCATGAGAAATACTTTCTTGGAACATCTAGCACTAGTGGTGGCGCGGTTGGTAGTGGAGGTGGCACAGGTAAGAGTGAGCCTTGAATTTGTATGCTATGTTATATGATTTACGAGGTGCGATCGGAAGGTTTCCAGACTGCGCGTATAAAAACCTGTACACTTATCTCAGGTATTAAATTCATCCGTCACCCTCGAAGTAGTTCCCCTGGGAGTGAACACAACGATCCCAGTGCCGCTGCCAAGCCTGGAAGCATCCCTGGAAATCTTTCTTTGTCAGCCTGTCAAGCACCATCTGCGATTCTGCCTGAATCTCTTCTATCGTCTCAAATCTCCTTCCCTTTAGCTGAATTTTCATCTTTGGGAAGAGGAAGAAGTCACACGGAGCTAAGGAGGGTATGATAACTGGGATGTGAGGGCCTCACGACAATGCGTACGAAGATGTCTGCCTTCTGGGTTGTAGCGCCGTGTAGTCTGGTAGAAGTTTACCAGCGTTTCAGAGGTCCTTGCTGCCTCCATCATCAGGGCGACGATCATGTACATAAATAGAGTAGTTAATGCAGTACGTCCATCTGCCTGAATCCTAATGCGCTGAACAGATGTCCATCAGGATTCCAACTCTATGAAACCCCGTTTTACATAGATATTATCTTCGTTGCTGGCGAAGATAGTCGATAAAAAACTGAACTTTTCTGATTAACAGTCCCGTGTATCGACCAGCCTGTTGTGTTCACGGTTTTTTGTTAAAATAGTCGAAGGCTTGTTTGTTACTAATAATCCATATTTTGTTAAATTTTTTTTGTGGTTAGAAATTTTTTAGAAAATACGTTTCGATTTGAGCTGTAGGTAACGTAGGGATTATACCAGATAGACTGAATTAGAATCAATTGTCGTGGTCTGTATAGACTCTAAATACGAATTTACCTTCTTCCAGGCTTGGCAGCGGCGCTGGGATCGTTGTGTTCACTCCCAGGGGAACTACTTCGAGGGTGATGGATGAATTTAATACCTGAGATAAGTGTACGGGTTTTTATACGCGCAGTCTGTAAACTTTCCGATCGCACCTCGTATAATTATATCAAATTACTTTCTCTTATCACCCTATGTGTTAACATTTTTTTTAGTTTCTCTGTTCGATTTCACATCCACACAACACATTTATGTGTGAAGAAGATGCGATATAGGCAATTTGACATAGATAATTTATGGTCAGAACAATAAATATTGAAGTGTGTATGAGGGAAAATCTCAGATTGAGGTGGAGTGAATGGGGATTACACTATGGCTGTCTATTCAGTAGATCCAATAAAATTTTATTACATGTATTTTTTAATATCTTTCTTAGTATGGCGCTATTCAGATTTACTTGTGGAATTTATTAAAGGTGATATTTTGGAATTTTAAGATCTTTTGGTAATGTAATGGAACCTGAAAATTAAGTATACAAATCAATAATTTTGCCTGTTGTTTTGTATGGGTGCGAAACATGGTCTCTCACTCAGAGGGAGGAACATATATTGCAGGTTTTTGAGAATAGGGTGTTGAGGAGGATGTTTGGGCCTAGGAGAGAAGACGATGGGGTCTGGAGAAAACTACATAATGACGAACTTAAAAATTTATGCTTCTCCCTCAGTATTGTCAGGGTGATTAAGTCGAGAGGAATGAGATGGGCGGGGCATGTAGCGCACATGAATTGTTCAAGAGGTGTGCACCGGGTATTGGTTGGGAAGCCTGAGGGGAAGAGACCGCTGGGGAGACCTAGACGTAGATGGTAGGATAATGTCAGGCGGGATCTATGGGAGATAGGAGTTGAAGGAGATTGGGTTTTGTTGGCCCAGGACAGGGTCTGGTGGAGGGCTTTGGTTAATTTGGTGATGAACCTTCGGGTTTGGTAAGCCATCTAGTTAGTTAGTTAGTTTGGTAATGTAATGATAAGTGTTCATATAAATGTTTATATAAAGCAAAACATTTTTAAAATCAATAACATTTTATTTAGAACACTTAGTAGGACAACAAATTCATCAAAATGAATGTCTTGACAGATCACTTTTTTATCCTAATGAAGTCATATTAATCATTGATTTCTTTGTAGGTGGTGTCTCATCTGGTGGAGGGATGCGTTCTGTAGAGTCAACACCTCAAACACGACGGAAGTATGGTGGAGGGGGTACAAGGCAGCCAACTATGACAGGAGGAAATTCAGGTGGAGAATATATAAACTTTGGAACAACTGCAGCATCTGGTTACCCCAGAACAACTCCTAATTTTGTTGGAATATCTTCAGGTGTAGGAAAGACATCAAAGGATGCTGGGGATCATACAGCTAAAGATGATCTTGTCAATATATCAACGCCCCTCATGCATCGGAAAACAAAATCTGAGCCCAGGTATATAACATTGTTAAGGTAAACATTCATTGCAATATAATGCAGGAGGTGGGCTTTCTGATAGAACAAGTAATCTATCAAGTGTTTAAAGGACAGTGTGAACTCTATATACCACCTCCTTTAATATTAAATAACTGCATTGTGCCCACTCAGCGTGTTTGTGTGTTTCATATGATTCTTAGAATAAGCAGCATTAACCAATTGTTTGTTTTTGTGTGTGTGCGGTAGGAACTGAAATTTATACATTATTTAGATGAGCTTCAGCTTCAGTGGGTTAATTTTAATGAAACTGTAGATGATTTTGTTCTTGAACTATCACATATTCTGAGTTTTGCCGAATGCGAAACAAGTTTCACGTCTACTTTCATATGTTGGAAAAGTTTTGTTGAAGTTGGAAAATTTGAAGTCCTAAACTTATGATATCTTTGTATTTCCAGTGACTCCATTTGCATTGAAGAGATTATGAACTAGCATAATGTTCTGGATGTGAGAGCATAAAATAAAATAAATTTTATTGGAAGCATAATTGCTGTGAATAGTAAACACAACTCCATAACAACCAAACTGAGTACAGTGAAATGAGCTGTCACATTATATATCTACATTCAGAATGACTAGGAGTTATGTCAATTATAGCATTAAAGAGATTTTACAATACTAACCTCACATTTTCCATTTTGATATGTTAACAGGTATCGAGATCAGTTGCAACTACAACAGCCCCAAAAGAAACAGTCCCATAAGTACAATGCACTTGGTGAACATATTGCAGCATCAGCTACATCTAGTAAGACTCATACTAATGATGATAATTCATCCAGTGAAGATCCTACTTCTAGCCCATCCCCTTCATCACCAGCAACCACATCTCCATCTAGTCCCGCTGCCATTGTTCGTGGCATCAAGAAATCAGTACAGCCAAACCCCTTTGCTTCCATTGAACCTCCACCATTGACAAGACACCGTTGCACCACGTTAACAGAAGGATCGGATGTTGACGCAGTTCTGAGTAGTGGTAAGGGACCAACTTCGTATGACGATTTGATATCTGTTTCTACCGGCCAGCCTGAGCATCTCAACAAGCTGTCTCAGCCTACTCAGCAGTCATCCAGAGAAAACTCTACTGCTAAGGTAGCCATGTTATATTTTTGCACAGAGTAAATACAGTAAGAAAGTTGTGCTTATTTCTCTTAATCTTGTAGAAACGTTTGGAAGAAATTTGTCTTCCACAAATGGTGGTAATATAATTTTGAAGATTTCTGTCTTCTGGGTTGTTGCGCTGTGTAGTCTGGTCGATGTTAACCAACGTTTCTGAGGTCATACTGCCTCCGTTATCAGGGCAATAAATATAACATCGACCCGACTACACAGCGCAATGACCCAGATGACAGAAATCTTGAGACTCACCGCTGTGAAAACCTCAAATCTTAATATAATTTTATTTCACACTGGTGCCAAGAATTCTTACTTTATATAGGCACATGAAATTACATGTTTGTGTTACATTAATAATATGAGTAATTAAAATATGTTTTTGTTAAAGGGTATAGAAATTAATAAGAATAAGAAATAGTCATACACATTTTAACGTTGGACGATGGACAAAGTCCAAAAACCCAATAATCCTGACTGTATCACACCATTTTCAGAATCCTACAGAATCCAATAAGAAACTGTGTTTTCAAGAAGAATGTTACAGAACGTGATTTAGAATTTTCTCTGATGTGTATTAAGCCACTTAATTTAGTTGACACTTCATTCAGTGCGCAAGTACACGTAAATGAAGCATGGCAAATGTGTTTAAATATACATTCATGAACTTTGTTTTTCAACCACACTGTGTCATGCTGAAATAATAAAAGGACTTTTAAAAGTGTTTATTTAATTGTCATAACAGAATGCTGGTTACAACAATGGTAATCCAACAGTGGGCAAGTTTCCCCATGGTAACGTGGATAACAACAAAGGACTGGTATGCAGTGGGGGGCCGGTTGGTGGAGGTCCTCTGTACAGTAACCTAGGAGACTACCCACCATACATTTTTGATCCTGAGACTCAAGCACATCTTCTGCCTCTTCAGCAGTACATTCTTGAACAAGCTAAACTGTCAGGTAATGAAAAATGCACACACCCACATATTCATACATATAAATTTGAATTCAGAATTACTCCGTTTATACTCGACATAACACTTGCATCATATATTGGTATTATATGCTAAGTATTCTTAATACCCGAAACTACAACAGCATTAATACAAAGCCTGTTATTAGACACAATAATTCATTCATCTCCCACTTTGACAACCCAACTTTCTAACATATTTCTTAATATTATCCCTCCATCTTCTTGGTGTTTGAAGTTCCTGATTTCCAACAGATTTTTCCACTGAAATTCTGCACAATTTCATGTCTCCTACCTAAGATACATATTGAGTCCATTACAGTGAAATATTGTTTTAAACAAACAATATACTTAGTTTTAGGGCTATTTCATCAGCCTTCTGTCTCAACACTGAACCTTGAATTGGTATATTTAATGCCCGTTTCTGCCTAAACCACTCTAGGAGCACTAATTCAGTCTTTTCATATTTGATTCATGTGTGCATCTCCTTAGTTTCTTGTTTGTTTCTATAATCTGACAAAAACTTATTAAATAGATAAAATGTTTGATGTGTGCCTTTAAAATTGATCTTCTTAGGTGGGATATCTTTTTATGCAGGAAACATTTTAAATGGGATGTAAGTGCATTATTCTTACGGTGTTGTTTTTCGGTCCCAAGGATTTTAACTTTTAGGCTGGAAACCATTTTAAGCTGTACCTTATTAAGTGGGGATTGCTGTATTTTATTTATTTCAAAGTTTGTAATGCGTGAATACTTGAATATTTTTAATTTTTCAGCCCAAAAATTATGGTGCATGTTATACATGAGTAAATACGGTGTATGTTGGTCTCTGGTATTACGGAAAGCAAACAGAATAAGTTTCTGAACTGAACTGAATAATAATAAACACCCCAATTTATTCTTCAGGTTTCGTTATGAACTTTATTTGTGTTTGTTATTGTTGTTTGCTGGCACTTATTTTTGTTAATGTTTGTTATGTTATGACTTTGTTTCTGATTTCAATTTCATGATATGCTTATGTATTCAGTTTAATCTCTCTAAACCATATTCTTTGCTACCCTGTGAAATAATTTCTGTGCTATTTGTGTTATGTTCTCATCCAACGACTTATCAGAAAAATAAGCATCTATGTATCATTGTATAAAATTGTTTAAATTCTTAAATATCAGTATTAGAAAGTATATGGATCTTTTGAACAAAAGATTTGGCTTTGGTTTCTTAATTTACCGATACACATAGGGACTCACATTTTGTTGCAGGCTGTTACAGGTTTGGAGATCCACTCAATGAGGAGGCAGACTCCCTTCATTCGGATGATGAGGACCATTCGACTGGACGGGGTGAGGATGACAGTGATGAGTTTGCTGACGATGAGGGTATGTCCAATCAGGAAGATTCCAGTTCACAGGAATATCTTGATGACAGCAATTATTTAGACGATGATGATGATAGCAGTCATCGAGAAACATATAGTCAGTTCCTAGCCCCTCAGCCTCCACTCAGAATACGATCAAAGTACACTTCAGGTAAGAATGTACTTTATTGTGATAAACTCAACTGTTATGTCATGGTATTGGTGCTTTATTATTCTCATAGATATCATCACAGAATAAATTATGTTCCACTGATATGATGCTGTAGTAACAATGAGTTTGTTTTTTTATTTTTCTGGCTGTTTTCATTGAGATAGTATATATTTGTGCCAACACAGATTAAGAATTTAGTTTTTGGATTATACATATACTTAAAGTAACGTAAAATGCCCTTAGAAACTATTGCAAATCACACAATGGAGCTCTGTACAAGCTTAATACAGTTGAGTTGGATGTTTTTGTTTGTAGGATTTGAGGTTTTCATGGCGGTGAGTTTCAAGATGGCAGTCTTCTGGGTTGTTGCGCCATGTAGTCTGGTAGAAGTTTACCAATGTTTCAGAGGTCCTTGCTGCCTCCCTGATGATGGAGGTAGCAAGGACCTATGAAACATCGGTAACCTTCTACCAGACTATGTGGCACAACAACCCAGAAGACAGTCTTCTTCATGTTTTTGTTTCTAGATGAATTGCATACATTTCCAAATTCTGTTATTGACAGTGATGTGAAATATCGATTTTGTTGAAACATTAATTGTTCTTAACAAAAACACACACCTCCTCCTCTATAGCTTTCTTTTGCAGGAATTAGAACATAATAAGTAACCATCTAATGTGAGGTGCGGCAAATCCAGTTCTACCACATGGTGTTAGATTAGACATAATATATGGGTTATCTTAAAACTTTGCATACTGTGTAGCATACAAACAAACTGTTTATACAGTTTGTTTGTATTATTATATTATTTTTTATAATATATGGGGATTTATGCTATCTGTTTCAAAAGAATATATTAATTCATCACATTTGTTTCTTAGTCCCCTGATATTCTGATGAATTTTTTTTAATAAATTTAGTGAGTTTACATTTTTACTGTAAACTTTAGATCGATTGGTAAATGGTAATTGCAGCCAATATATGTGAAGCACCTCTGTGCTTTAGATTTTAAGCTGAAAAAGGTTTGGCTCAAGCATAGTTAGTAACAGGAATATTGCTAACACTTCACCCATGACCATTACATATTCTTTCAGCAATGAGATGTGTTAATCACCTCTGGTCTCGAGAATTTAGGTGCAGACCATGTGTTTTGTTATATCTCACGAAAGAAGTAGTGTCCGTGACAGCAATGTGAGCCATATCTCACCCCATCAGTGTCGGATCAAGCTGATGATTTGCTCTCCTATCTCCCCTGTTTATCCATATCTTGTCATGCCTGTTGAAGAGGTTGACAAGTCCCGCATTTGTGTTGGATGTTCTCTCTGCAATGAAGTTGACACCCTTTTATACTGAATAATAATATTTTATATTCTTGCTGTTACCTGGCCCTCCCATTATAACAGTATGATCTTGCTTGGTAAGGCCTTTACCAAGCTTCTGCAGGTCCTAAAAAACATTTGCAGGAATAGCATTTGGTTTAGAAATACCAACCATATCAGATTTATTGCTCAGATTTTTGTAAGAGCGTGGGTCCAGCTTTTGTCCCATGACTGCTTTCCTTTTACTTTCTGCACTCATGATTCAACAAAAGTGCTTTGCTGGCCGATAGTCAGTCTTTTTCTTGCACACTTAATAATTTGGACTCTGCTCAGTCAATGTAGTGACTGGCTTACAGGCTGGATGACCAGGGTTCTATTCCTGGCAGGATCATAAATTTGTGTTTGAGATTTGAGTTTCCATGGTAGTGAAGATATTGACTATGGGTTGTGACACCATGTAGTATTGTGATTACCAGCATTTTTGAGGAACGTATCACATCCATCTTTAGAGTCAATATGTTCCTCAAAAATACTGGTAACCGTGTACAACATTATGCAGGTTCACATTTCATGGATTTTTCACTTTGCTATTGTTGTGCTGTGTGCAAACTGGCTTGGGATCAAACCAGCACCTGTCCAGTGGGTACTAAAGGTCCTTTTCTCAATTTTTCCCAGGGGAAAAGTAACTGGGTTATGAAACTGACCATTCGTTTTAGTTTAGTGCCGAGGTTAAAAATGTGTGGATCTATACTTCCACTTGCCATATGTGTTTATGGTCTGGCACTTAGAGCGCTGTGATATCTTTTCTTTACTTTAATGTATATTGTTCATATTGGAATTGCCTTTTAAGAATGGTTGTAGTTACAAACGAGTCTTTCTTCCAGTGTTGTACAGTTAGATGCATCAGTTTATTAAAAATAATATTGTTTATTACACTAAGCCATGTGCTGTTTGGCCTTCGAGGATGGTGGAGTAGATTACCTACAAGAGATGCTGTCTGGGGTGAAAGTAAATAATTCACAATGCAGAACTCATTTGTACAACCAAAATACATGAAAAGCTTACCAACGGCTGAAGGAATAAATGTTTGTAAATCTGTAATCATATTTTGAAAACATCAGTATTACTGAATTAGAAAAGGCAATGATTCAAGAAGTATTGGGAAAGAAAATTAGATATATTATATATCAAGGGCTAAAGAATGTCAGTGTCTGTTTAAAATTTATATATTATTTTCCATCATGATAACCTAGATAAATATAAGATTCATCTACAGTTCTTATAGATTTTATCATTTATCTTTAATTTCAGACTGTCGAAATAGTTCAGATTATGTAGACGGCGTGACATACTACAATACGAACCTTACAGCCGGTACGACATTAACGGCTTCCAGCCTCCAACAGCACCAACAGTCCGCACAGTGCAGAGGAAGTGGAGGAATAGCTGTTGGAGCAGCGGCTGGTATGATTTTGTAATTATACTTCGTGTTTATCGATAGAAATATGAAATTTACTTGTGTATAGCATGCAGTTCCCTCCAAATTATTCATTGTTAAAATATGGTGTATTTGCACAATGCATTTAAAGGGGAGAAGGAAGTGGTTTTTTCCCTCAGGCAGTAGAATATTATCAGATATAATTTAAAAGCTGATATTTATTTGTCAGCAGTATGCAGTTTGCTTTCACTTGTGTCATCTGTCAACAGTTCACAAACGTGTTTCTGTCATTCTGTAACTAATGATATTGCCGTCACTGCTGTTTTCATTATATTTTTACACTACCTGTATTTTATTTAATTTGAAGCTTGTTATACAGAAATACTTTTTTTTAATTTCCAGTCCAAAAATAAGAGTATGTGTTATACACAAGAGAATAAGGCATTGAACAAGCATTAGACAGTTCTGTGGTTCAGTAAAAGTAGGTTATTTATACTGAGATAATTAGCAGAGAATTTAACCAAAAGTAAAAGAATCAAATCTTGGTTATGCAATTTGTATTTAAGATTGTCTGAATTCATCAGCTGCTTCAGTGTTCATCAGGTTACTAAAGTTATTTTTCCATCTACCTTGGGTATTTTTGGAATTTGTAAGTATCTCATTATTATCCTTCTGTGCCGTGCATATCTTTTGTAGTTTATTTAACAATGCTTTTTCAATAGCTCAGACTACATAACATGGAATGACAGGACGATAATGAATTGAAAAGGTTTTGGAAGGAAGCGGTCAGGCACTAATTTAAGGTACTATTTGCCTGGAAGGACTGAGGAAAACAAAAAAAAAAACCCATTGAGGATAGCTGGTCTCCGGGCTGAGATTTGAACTCGGGACCTCCCGAATACGAAGCAGCTTTGACACATACATTCACATTTGATAACACACATTACATGTACATATTACAAGCAGAGGTTATGGTGAAATTTCTGGCTTAGGGGCCAGAATGGTACACTTCACATTGGGATCCTTTGCGTGCTATTCTGCATGACCTCAGAATTTGCAGTTTTGAATATCCTACAAGCGGTGGTAACAAAATAATGGATGAGGAAAGTCATGAGGCAGACAATGAGATGCTGCGATCTGGTGGCCAATGTGGGAAATATCAAAAAAGGTGGATTTAATACCTCATAGTGCTCGTTGCAAAGGACACGTGAGGTTATTATGTGTATTCTGGTACAGAATACACTTTCAGAGCTTGTTCCGAATGTTGTGAGGTGTTGTAATGATGGATTTCTGTTGTAGTCTGAGCTTCTGACAGCATAATTAAATAAGCTGTAAATAAGTAAAATATATTTGAATTCTGAGTAAACCGCTGAATGAATAGGATATAAGTTGCACAGTCATAATTGGATTGGGATCAAAGATATTGAACATTTAATGACACGCATTTGAAGTAGAATAAACCTGAATAATACATGTTATGCTGGGGTTAAGCAAGAAGATTTTTCATTTATGTGAAGTTTATGGGCTGATTTGAAATCTGAATTTTGTGTCTGTTAGTCTGTTACAAAGAATTTCCCTTGTCTCCTCAGGATCAGTGAGCAGTGGCATACATCACCCTTCCATTTCTTTGCCTAACAATGTTTCTGTGCCACTGGAAACGCAGCATGCGTCGCTTAAGAGGAAGAAAGAAGCGCCTCCTCCTCCAATGTTGTACTCACCTATTCTTGAGAAATCAGAGGTAAGTAGAGGAATCTTACGAGAGAGAATTTCATGTAGAGAGTTATGGTGGCAAATTTTATGGGTTTTTTTAATGAGTTTTCTCAACATGGAAATTGGAGTATTTTATTCCCCCTGGCAATTACCAAAGAACTATATTTACATAATGTATAATTGGTGTTTTAGTAATGTTTAAAATGCTTTCCCATTACTTAAATTCCAAGGTATAGTCTGATCTCACACATGTTCAGAATGTATTCTGAAGTTGTTCACGTTATATATTAGATGATTTAAATGGTAGGTACAGTCAGCTCTGAACATATTTCTTTTCCCATATTCAGATCGTATTCTAAAGTCAAAGTTAATTTGCTGTGATTATCAAATTGATTAATATTTTTTGTTTCTTTAATGTTCAGTTAACTTTTATCCAAATTGTTATGTTTTGTTAAATTTGTTGTCAAACTGGGATCACCAGTAATCCCTTTTTCTTTTACTGGATTTAAATCAATTTTGTGATTTAAGAGAGAAGTAGCAGGAGGCTGGAGAAAATTGCATAATGAGGAGCCAGATATTAGGGTGATTAAATCAAGGAAAATGAGATGACCAGGACGTTTAGCATTCATGGGAGAGATGAGAAATGCATACAGAATCTTGGCTGGAAAGCCCAAAAGGAAGAGGCTACTTGTGAGACTTTGGCGTTAGTGGGGAGATTATTAAAGAAATACATTGCAAGAGTGTAGACTAGATGACTACATTCATTTGACACACATTATGGACCAGTTGCAGGCTCTTATGAACACAGTAATGAACCTTCCAGCTGAGTAAAATTTGAAAGGGAATTTCTTCGAAAGTTGAATGACCTTACTTTTCAAAAAGGACTTTGCTGCATGGAGCTATTTAAAACTATTTTGGTTAATAAAACTTCCTTTGCAGTGTTCTTGTCACTTATTCCTATTTCATAAGACATCATTTTTCACTAAGCCATATTAAAATTTTACCCTGTAAAGTTTGTGTGCCACTGTACTAGCAAATTTTCTGTGAAAACACAAATAAGAAAGCCACATTCATTAAAAACCAGTAATTAGAATTGCATATGTCTGTGTACATTTTAATTTTGAAGATTTATTTAACCCTTTACATACTGGTGGCTAAGATTTTATCTGCAAATGTAGGGCTTTAATCAGGACAAGAGGATAAACATTCATCCATGGAGGCTTTTCATTAATGTGCACAGGCGGGTAATTTTCTGACAGTGTGATATTACTAAAGATGTCCTTGATTTTGGTGCATGCAAACTGTTTTAATTTTATGTGGACTGAACTATGTTATTCGTTGGGCTTACAGCTGTAACGTTATAAGGAAAAATTTGTTTTGCATCCATCCAGCATTCAGCAGCTTGGTTGCTAGTGCCATGGCAAAAGTTTCTTGTAATATCATTACAAATGAAATAGAAGATTTGGTTTTTAATTTTGAATCTTAAGAACATTGTACTTAGAATCTCTCCGATGTAGAACATGATGATGTTATTGTTGCAACAAATGAAGCATGGAACAATATAAGAAAAAAAATTGGATAGGCTGTGACAGCTTTCTTCCAAATCCTTTCCAGTAAATCATTCATGAATTTCCTTTTCCAGTACCACATAGAAAATAATGAAAATCAGGCCAACAGAACAATTAGGAATTATGTAAAGCTGAGGAAGACCATAGGCTTTTGAAATGCCTCCAGAAAATCCAGTCCTCATTTTACTGCCTTACATGTAATATGACTTTAAATGATATATTTTTTTATAGGTCTAGTATCTGAAAAATAAATATTTGGAATGAAACTTAAAAGCTTTTTAGCATGTGTTTTGCATATGACATGACAGTTTACTAGGAGAACTAACATTGTAATGCTGCTGTAGCCATAAATTGGAACAGAATGCCAGGTGACAGGAAACATTAAGGGTGCTGAATATAGGTTGTTTGTGGACAGTTATTTTTTATTGTCTTAAATTTATGTGACAGGAAAATTTGAATACAATAAATTTGATATTCATTGTGCATGACTTACCAGAATGTGTTGTTGATGTGTTCAGAAACGAAAGCGCCATGACATGATAGAATGTGAAGACAGTTTCAATACACTGTTTTTGTTCCTGTTACATAATATCACAGCAGATTCATCGCTTGGCTGCTTTCAGGCTTAATTTTTAATGTTTACTGTCAAATAATTTTACTGAAAATAGTGTTTGAGTAATTAGCACTTTTGCTTTATAATCATGAGGTCTCAGGTTCAGAAAACTTGACCCAGAGGGCAGTTATCCTTAATTTTTATGGTCTTCATCTGTTGTTTCGTGCTTAGGATATGAATAAAAGATGTTCAACTTGAAGTCATAATCTGCTATTCTGGGAATCAGTTCTAGACTGTCAGCTTAAATTATTCATACAGATTTAAGTTTGTTTTAATGATAACAGTCTGTGACTGGAGGCTGCCATATGTGGGAGACTTGTTTCAGAAATGACCAAAGGTTTGTTGCTGCAAAGTACAATACCAGCCCATAACACAAGTATTGTCGCAGTCATTAAGATTAGGAAGTGTACATTGGATGATGAACTGTAAACATTCCACAACCTGTAAACTGTATTCCATTTTTCATTTCTAAAGGGTTTTGACGATGGTAGTTTACACTTAAAATTATTCATTGCGGTTTCTGAGCTGGTTGCTTACAGAGCTGTATGAGCTGTCTTATAATTTTTATTTTATCATTTAAGTATTATAATCTACTGACAGAACCCGTACTTGGGTGGATAAGTTGAAATAATTTCACGATTTATATTGTCCAGTGACAGACTAGCTCTATCTAAAGAACCCAACAGAGTAGGTACCTCTCACCTGAAGACGGAGACAGAACCAGCCTCCGAAACATCGTGGTTTTAAAGAACAGACGATGGAAAAAGTCCTGACAACGAATAATTTTAAGTGTATTCCATTGTGTTATGCCATTTTGCAAATTGCTGAAACACATTTCCTAATGCATATAACATGCCTTTTTCCAAATTTTTTGGAACTCAATTTCATCTTAATTTTTGAAACAGTGAAACATACTTGATAATAATAAGTACTCATAAGTAATGTGATCTTAAATTTTTATAATGCATTCACTTTCATTGTCGTATCATAATTATATCGAAATATGGCTGTATTTAATAAAGGATACAGAGAAACAAAAACCTAGACTATAATGCCATTCAGGTTACCGCACACTGCTGAGACAAACACTACAGTATTGAATGTGTCTTTAAAGGGTTAATAATTGTCTTCTTTGCGGCATGTCCAGTGTTTTACTTTGTGTTATGAAGGGAATGTGGATTTAGAATGCATATAACATTTGCTGCTGGATTTGATATTGTTCACTCATTTGTTGCCTGTAACAACACTGAGTTTTACATCAGATATTTATCTTCAGTCTCTTGCTATTATGTAGTACTGGCTCTTCTTTCAACAGTAAAAGTTATTCAACTTGTCAAGAATGAGGTTACCTGTTGTTACGGGACCCATGGCTTATCACCTTTATCTTAAGGGCCTGTTATTAGATTCCCTTCTGAGAAAGTTTAATCCAGAATCTGTCCCACAAGCTGGATAGCAGCTTAATCTAGTCATAAATACATTTTGATTACTGGAATAAAAGATTATGTTAAACCACATCATTGAGAAGTTGGGTATGAGTGTGAATTGGATTGAACTAGCTCAAGATGGGTTCTAGTAATGGACTTTTGTTGTCATGATTATGAAGTTTTGGATTCAATAAGAGAAATTATTCTTTTGACCAATTGAATAATTATCAGTTGCTTAAAGAATGTCTTGTTTAATAAAGTTGGTTGATTGGCATGAGTTTTTGCAAAAGTTGCATGTTGGTATTATTGTCTTATAAATTCGTCTTGCATGTGAATATCTGTGAAAATAGTTCTGTTATTAAGTCCTGTATTTGTAGTACATTTCTTGAACAACTTTGATTAATTTTATTAATATGACTATGGTTTTGGCATAGGAATTTTGCTGTCCCTGCTATGCTGTATTAAAGAAGCAATTGCTGAATACCCTGTCCTAATTGTATATATGTAATCATAGGATTTGAGGTTTTTACAGCAGTGAGTCTGAAGATTGCTGTCTTCTGGGTTGTTGCACCGTGTAGTCTGGTAGAAGTTTAAGCTTCAAATATGTAATTATCCATGTGGATTACGAGTATTAATAACAAATTTTGTTTAAGTCTTTGGCTTTATGTGTCTGTATGTTCTGTATAGCAAGAAAAATTCCTCCACTTTATCTAAATTTTTATTTTATTTGAGATAAATATTTGAATGGTTTTGTATTAATTTATTTTTACATGTTGACTTGTAAACCTTTTGTCACAAAGAGTTTTTGATTTGTAGAAAGAACTGAAGGTTCTCGGGACCAATTAATCGAGTAATGCGAGGAATACCTGTGTGTCACTTATTCATTTGTCAGTTCCCAGTAAGTTACATTGTAGTGACTATTTTCAGTTTACAGTAGTAAGTGCTCGACAAAAAAAGAATGAGAAGAGGCCATTGACTTACAGTCAGGTTAACTACAGGTGAAAAACATAAGAAAACATAATAATTATCGGTCTAGAGAATGCTGTCTTGATATTCTTTCCCATGTATAAAATCCATTCCATTACCAAAATCATATTCATATTCGTTGTAAGTGAACTTTGTTCTTCTGTTATCCACATTTATTGGTTAAATCTACTTATTTCTCTGTTCTTTAGTTTTATTTTGTATTTTCAGTTCCAGCTTAGTCCAGTGCCCCATACTTTACCGGTGCCCATTCCTTGTTATTGCCATGGGTCAAGTAATGACAATGGTTATGCTAATAATTATTACCGCCCCTTGTCGCTTCCTGCACCCTCCCGCACTGAGGTCGACCCTACTACCAACACGGAAATAATTGCAGGGTCGCTGCAGGTTAGTAATTGGTGTTACTGTGATGAACACTGGCAGACAGTATTGTGGCAAATCTGTTTCCCAAATACTGGTACTTCCAAAAAATATTATCTGGTACTTTAAGTAAGTTGTTTGTTTATGTATTCTAAAATAGTTAGTTGTTTTTCATAATATTGCTTAGGAAAAAATAGATCTCAATATTTGTTGTATAATAAGTCTCTACCTCAATAAGAGACCATGGAAATACACATAACAGGCCTTTAAACTCCTGTTACTGATTCATGATTAAAGAGTATTC